CTATTATTTGGCATTTTCAGCCTTAAGTAAACTTGGATTAGCCAGAGTCTTTATCAATAATTAATGATATACTTGGAAATTATTCCCTCTTACAGATTTCAAGCTATTCGGTTTTCACAATATAAAATTTTATGAAAAACAGTTTATATCACACCTGCTCCCAATTAGCCACCTCTAGTCTAATCAACCATCGATGCATTTTCACTCTACCTAAGAATTGCCCCTTTGGTGACGCATTTAGCAGAGCAACTATTCACTCAGCCGGCGAATCAGCGGAATTCCTGGCGTTTATTCAATCAGACCAGCATACAGACCTTTATTTATAAATGATAGGTTTTGATAGTATCAGTAGATCTCGGATAAGAGTAATAGTCACCCTGTTTCGTATAAGATTATTAAAGGGTAAATATAAAATTGTGCAAAAAATCCCTCAACATTTTTTCAACCGCAATTTGTATGAGATTACAACGCATAGTCGTCTCTTTCTCCTTCTATAAAAGACACGCATCCAGGTTATAACCCATCGTCAGTCTGTTTTAGGGCAGCCGTGTTATTCCAGATCGACACTGTTGGATCACACGAAAGTTTAGCACCAAATCAACCTGGCAGAAGATAATCTCTCTCTGGATATGACAAGCTCACTCGTGCACGAGGCTAGAGAGGGCAGATCTGTATCTGCTTAATTTGCTTGGTTGACCGACTCATACCGGATTGGGACACAATAGACCAACCAGCCTGTCTATCATAAACCCTCTAGGGACTCAGAAGTTCTGAGCACATATTCTACGCCAGATTGTGCAACTCTCTTTAAATGGTTACCCTATGACTATTTTTGTGTATATGTGTTCCTATATAAGTGCAATTGTGTGTATGCATGTGTGGGCATATGTGTGTGTCTAGGCGTTGTGAAGCAGTCTTCTGAGGGCATGCAAAATCTGAGAGTCGAGCTTGTCACAAGATATATATGTATATAATGATTTGCTTGTTCCTCTTTCACATCAATCAGGGTATGTGTACTTAAGTATGTGTGTGTGTGTGTGTGTCGGGTTTGAGTTGTCAAGATTAATGACTAAAGGAAGACTATTATCAAGATTACATCGGATTCAAACGATGAGATGCAAGTCCGTAGGAGTGTAAGTAAGGCTATGAAACAACGAATCTATTAATCATGCACTTTCATACAGAATGAAAGTATCCAGATTTTTATCAAAGATAATTACCCTTTGTATATACTTCGAAAAATTAGGCTGACCCTTTACTCTCGCACAATTTGAGGCTGAACAGCCGATTGGACTCAGGCTCAACGATTCGGAAGGCTGCTACTGCCAAAGTGATTGCTCTGGTTAACAATAAATAGTGACTTTATTGTCGGAATAAGGCAACGAGTGCAAAAAATTAAAGATAAGAAATAAATTTAATGACCCTGTGGCCCTACGATTCAATAAAGTGTTACACAATTTTGCAATTAGTCAGACTTTTCGCGCCAAGCAAGGATAAAGCAATAGTAAATGCCAGGTTTCAGATAAATCTCTCTTCGAGTTGTCTCCGGAAAAGTGGGAACGTAACTAACAGCACAGTTGATAGAACCAGAATGTAGAACTTCCCACTTCCAGACCTCGTCTTTCGCAGTCATTGGTCGTGGACGGTCGTGGACATGCATTTGGCACGTTGGTCAACAATCCCATTACTGACACCGCCTGCTCAAACCAT